AAACATATTTTAAAACATAAGATATGTATTTAAAACATATATTTTTTTCTCCTTCTCCCATTAGTGTTGTCTCCATGAGAACAGGGACGTCTGTTGAGTTTTGTTCTGTGCTGTAGCCTACATATCTAAAATAGCACCTGGCATATAACAGGTGTTCAGTAAGCCGGGCTCAGTGGCTCAGCCTATAATCCCGCACTTTGGGAGGCTGAGGTGAGTGGATTGCCTGAGCCTGCGGGTTTGAGACCCGCCTGGGCAACTTGGTGAGACCTCATATCTACAGTAAATCAAAAAATCAGCCAGGCATGGTAGCGTGTGCCTGTAATTCCGGCTGCTGGGAAGGCTGAGGTGGAAGGATCACTGGAGCCCAGCAGGTTGAGGCTGCGGTGACTGGGAGCGGCCACTGCACTCCAGTCTGGGCAACAGAGTGAGATTCCAACTCAAAAAAAAAAAAAAATAGGTGTTCAGTAAATACTGTGTTGGGTAGCATGATGATTGAATTCACATCTACCATGGTTGACTACCAAGTTTTCCTCCCTGCCATCAGAGCTTGCAGCTTGTTTGATCTAGTTTACTAGAAGTGAAAAGAAAATCTTGGGATTTGCAATGACTGTCCCCTGTCCCCCCAGGTGAAGGTGCTAAAGGAGAAAATAGAAGCTGAGAAGGGTCGTGATGCTTTTCCCGTGGCCGGACAGAAACTCATCTATGCTGGCAAGATCTTGAGTGACGATGTCCCTATCAGGGACTATCGCATTGATGAGAAGAACTTTGTGGTCGTCATGGTGACCAAGGTGGGTGACGTGTGCTGGCTGGGAAGGTGGGTGGATTCGCTGGCGAGCTGGCAAATAACCTACATGCCCAGGAGAGATTAGCCATGCACAGGGCGGGCCCACATGGGACGGGATGTTCAGGTCTGATAGGGATGCTGATGCCAGCTCCCTTCTTGCTGTCACAGGCCAAGGCTGGCCAGGGTACCTCAGCACCTCCAGAGGCCTCATCCCCTGCTGCCCCGGAGTCTTCCACATCCTTGCCACCTGCCCCTGCCTCAGGCATGTCCCATTCTCCACCTACTGCCGCCAGAGAGGACAAGAGCCCTTCGGAGGAGTCAGCCCCCACAACGTCCCCAGAGTCTGTGTCAGGGTAAGGCCGGGCAGTAGCCCCAACTTGGGCCCTGTCCTCCCAGCACATTCCAGCGCCCACATTTGTGGTCCCACAAACCTGGAGGGAGGGCAAGCCGCCAGAAGCCAGGGTCCGATTTCTCTCTCTTGAATTTGCAGCTCTGTTCCCTCTTCAGGTAGCAGCGGGCGAGAGGAAGACGCAGCCTCCACGCTAGGTGGGTGGGTGGTCCCTAGGGCAGAGGCGACTGGGTGCCCCAGCCATCAGCTGGGTTTTGTCTGGGTGCGGGAGGGCCTGGGAGCTGCCTTTTCCTCTTCCTGGTGACCCACGTCTTTTGCTCCCTCCACAGTGACTGGCTCTGAGTATGAGACGATGCTGACGGAGATCATGTCCATGGGCTACGAGCGGGAGCGGGTCGTGGCCGCCCTGAGAGCCAGCTACAACAACCCCCACCGAGCCGTGGAGTATCTACTCACGGTGAGGTGGGGCCACCGCCTCCTGGGGAGGCCTCAAGGGACTCCACGGGCCTCACTGCCTTGATGGGCGGTTGGGAAGACAAAACCTGCCCCTGAAAGCTTTTGGGTAGTGGTTCTAGCCACTAAAGGCTTCCCGCAAAAGCCTGGCTGTGTGTGGTGGGAGGCCTGTGGCCGGTAGGGCCAAGGCCTCACTGCCTCTTGCCAGGCATGGAGGAGGGAGACAGTGGGACGTCTGTGCATTAGAACTAAATGGGACCCCTGACAGGGAATTCCTGGGAGTCCCGAGCCAGAACACGGTTCTGTCCAGGAGAGCCAGGTGTCGGAGCAGCCGGCCACAGAAGCAGGTGAGCAGGTTGGTGGGTGGCATGTGGGGTATCTGCTCTTGAGGCACCTGACTCACATAGCACACCCCATCCCACCCTGCAGTGTGCCTGGGAGCCCAGTGTGGCATCTGACCAAACCCTTTCCTACTGTCAGTAGGAGAGAACCCCCTGGAGTTCCTGCGGGACCAGCCCCAGTTCCAGAACATGCGGCAGGTGATTCAGCAGAACCCGGCGCTGCTGCCTGCTTTGCTCCAGCAGCTGGGCCAGGAAAACCCTCAGCTTTTGCAGGTGCGGTCCTGGGGGCAGAGGGAGCCAGGGTAGGCACCATAGCCCATAATATGCAGGAGTTATTCTGTGCCTGGAAAGCAGGACTGTAGGCTCTCACCCCCCGTGCTTCCTGTGACCTGTGGACCCACACTAACCATCGTGTAAGGTGAGGGTGCAGACAGTATCACCCCCAAAGAAAATACCAGAAGCTTAGAGCAGCCTGTCATGCAGCTGGTGGAATGTGTGTCTGCCTCCAGCCTCTGAGTCCAGGGCTGAGGCTTCCATGTAACAGCTGGCACTGTGTCAACGTCTATAAGGTTGCATGGCAACACCCAGGACAGCGGTGCCCAGGGAGCCTCCCTCCTGCCCTCGAAGGCTCACAGGCAGAGGAGCAGTGGCCTCTTGGTGTGCACAGGGTCCTTCCTGGAAGTACGTCAGGCTCCTCCAGGGACTTCATGAAGTGAACACCTCTCCTGATTCAGGACCCTCAGTCTGCTGCTTCTCTTCCTTCTCAGTCCCTTGTACCGGCTCTTCCTGTTCACCTCTTGTTCTTTATCTGCACTCAGTTCCCCCATACTGACCCAGGGTCTTCAGTCTGTGGTGACCCCACACCTGTGTAGCCAGCCCAGGCCTCTTACTCATGCCACACTAATCTGTGGCTGGCTTGACATCTCTGTGAAAGTGCTTTCTAGACTACAGGACTTCAGAGCAGATCCCCCCATCTCTGCCAGGCCCTGCCTAGGATTGCTTGAGCCCCAGCCCCTGCACGCCAACTCCCTGGCATCCTCCTCCTAGGCTTCTGCTTCTGCTCCATCCCCCGATTCATTGTCTACCAGGAGCCAGTGACTGAAAAAAGCACTTTATTCCTTAATGTGAAAATGGTCAGATGTAGACAAAAGTAGAGAGTTATATCAGAACCTCCAGGTATGCAGTGCCCAGGTGTGTTAGCCTTTCTAAAAGATACACTTTTACCCACTTCCCTGTCACCATGTGACTTCCCACTGCACCAGAGGCAAGTGGGTCTGGCTCAGGCCTTGCCTCTGGTCTCATCTCTTGCCTCCTCCCCCTTCCCTTCCTTTTTTACTGTTTGCCATATGGATCTTGTTCCTGGGATTTGCCAAATGCAACCAGCCCTAGCCTTTGCACTTGTTGTTTGCTCTGTCTGGAGGAAACCCTTCCCATCCCACAGACTGCAGTCCCCTTCCCCTGGCCCTGCAGTTATCTGGCCCACTTATTTGCTTGCTTGTAGCCCATCAGCTCCACCATGGTGGGGCTCATGTCCAGCACTGTGCTTGGCCAGAATAGGCATCTCAAAATATTTGCTGACCAAATAAAAAAAGCAAGGGCTGTGATTGGAACCTGAGGAGAGGGGACAAGGGCTGTGAGTCACCATCTCTTCTCTGTCTCCCACAGCAAATTAGCCGGCACCAGGAGCAGTTCATCCAGATGCTGAACGAACCCCCTGGGGAGCTGGCGGACATCTCAGACGTGGAGGGGGAGGTGGGTGCCATAGGCGAGGAGGCTCCCCAGATGAACTACATCCAGGTGACGCCGCAGGAGAAGGAAGCTATAGAGAGGGTGAGAGGCCTGGCTGAGGGGTAACTTCTCAGGAGGGAGGGCCCCACCCCACCTGCTTACACTGCCTGTCTTCCCACAGTTGAAGGCCCTGGGCTTCCCGGAGAGCCTGGTGATCCAGGCCTACTTCGCCTGTGAAAAAAATGAGAACTTGGCTGCCAACTTCCTCCTGAGTCAGAACTTTGATGACGAGTGATGCCAGGAGGCCAGGCCACCCACCACCCCCAGCCCCACCCCATCCCCACTCCACGAAAGTTTTATAAAAGAAAAATATATATATATTCATGTTTATTTAAGAAGTGGAAAAAAATCAAAAACCTTAAAAAAAAACCCAGCTCCCCATCCTTCTAAAGTGGCCCCCACTCCCATCTCGGTCTGAGAAGACCAGGGCCAGACAGCTGTCCCCAGTCCGCCCCAGCCCAGCCTGCTCAAAGGAGCTGGCAGGACTAGGAGGTGACAGATGGGCCCCTCTTGGCCTCTGTCCCAGCTCCCTGCAACCAGATGGAGAGGCGGCTGTTTGCTTCCCCATCCCCTGAAGAGCCCCTGAGGACCCCCCACTGCCCCACCCTCTTCCAGGATGAGGGGAAGCTGGAGCCCCAAACTTTGATCCTCCATTGGAGTGGCCCAAATCTTTCCATCTGGGGTGAGCCCTGAAAGGCCCAAGCCTCCCTCCCCAGTCTGGCTTTGGCCTCCAGCCTGGAGAAGGGGTAACATCAGCTCCATGTCAAGGCCACCCCCACCCCAGAACAGAACTGTGTCTCTGATAAAGGTTTTGAAGTGAATAAAGTTTTAAAAACCAGCCCTATGGTCTGTGCTACTGGGGCTTCCCATGCCCGCCTGTCTGGGTCTGGGGGCTAGTTGGGCACAGCCAATGTGGGAATGCAGACAAGAGGTCTGTTGGCCCCTGCAGATTGGGGCTCCCAGTGTCTTCCCCCTGGAAGTGGTCTAATTCCCAGGCAGTGGGCCTCAGCCCCAGCTCAGCCTTGCATAGGCTGCTTTTCCCCGCCCCCACCATCACCACCACAGTCTGTTTTGGCTACACTTCCCCCCTGGTAATTGGCTAATTACTGGAGATTAATGTTGGTAAACAGAAGCCTTCTTCTCTTCTGCCATCTGCTCCTCCATTATTTGCCCATCACGTCCCCCATTCTCTCCCCTGAAGCCCCAGTTAGTCGGCAAGGCCTAGCACCTCTGTCCTCTTGTGAACAGAGCCATGTGGGGGATGCCCCAGACCCAGGGAGACACCTTGAAAGAGGACAGAGCTCTCAGCTTTATTGGAAAGGACAAAGCTCAGGTGCTGCATGCCTCGGAGGCTGCTGGGTCCTGGGTCTCAGTAGCAGCCATTGCAGCAGCTCGTGCTTCCTTCTTCTGCCTTTGTTTTTCCTCCTTGAGGCGCTTTCGCTGCTGCTTCTCTAGGTCCTGGAGCAGCTCCTGAAAACGGGTGCTCCTGGGGTCCACGTGGTAACCCAGGCGCTCCTGGGCTTCAGCCTGCAGTCGGGCCTTCCTCTCCTTGGCTGCCTGGTCCTTCTCCCAGCGCTCTCGCTGCTGTCTCCGCCAGTTCTCAATCATCTGTGGCATCTTGGCCATGCACTCTGCGATGCACTGCTCCCTGCAGGGGAAGAAAGGTGGACAGTGACTGCAGAGCCCACGCACTCATCCCACCACAGGCCTTTGCCCACAGCCTGCCTCTCCCAACTTCCCATGGAGGATTTAAAACCGGGAAGACTAATCACTGCTATTAACTGTCAGGAAAAGTCCTTGACAAGCGAAGAAACAGGCAGGAAAAGATTAAGAGATAAAGTAACAGCCGGGCTCGGTGGCTCTGCCTTTAATCCCGCGCCTTTGGGAGGCTAAGGTGAGTGGATTGCCTGAGCCCGCGGGTTCGAGACCCGCCTGGGCAGCGAGACCTCATCTCTACAATAAATAAAAAAATCAGCCGGGCGTAGTAGCGCACGCCTGTCATTCCGGCTACTTGGAAGGCTGAGGTGGAAGGATCGCCGGAGCCCAGCAGGTCGAGGCTGCGGTGGCCGGGAGCGCCCACTGCACTCCAGTCTGGGCGACAGAGTGAGACTCCAAATCAAAAAAAAAAAAGAGATAAAGTAACTTTTAACCACAAGGGTAAGTCAAGCCCCAGCAAGCCCAGGTGCTGACACCAAGTCAATCTGACATTTCACTGAGCTGCCTACTGAGCCAGCTGAGTGCCACATACCATGCTGGGCCACTCCCCTAGATAAAATCTCAACTTTTTTATTCCACAGACATCACTGAGCACCTATATGTGGCTCCCCAATCCTAGGCACAGGAGTGAAAGCAAGAAATGGAAATTTCCCTCCAATCCTACGAGTTTGTAGGTACCAGTCACAGCCCCATTTTAAGGATTAAAAAGTGAAGCTGGGCTGAGGTGAGTGGATTGCCTGAGCCCGCGGGTTCGAGACCCGCCTGGGCAACTTGGCGAGACCTCATCTCT